GTGGAGATGAGAAAAGTTAAGAATAGAAAGTGGAAATTAAGGTACATGTTTGTTTGAGGTTGTTTGAATGGGATTTGTGTGAATGTGTTGTTGGATGCATTTATAAGGTGTTTTGGTTTGTTTGAGGAAATTGAGGTTATAGTGGTGGTGATGGTGTGGGAAATGGAAGACTTTGACTTGGCTTAGTCTTGGCCAATCATGGAGATTCTTTTCTCTTGTTTTGTTTTCTGAAATTTTCGTCATTGTGTGACGTTGTTATCTTTTTCGTTTTTTTTTCCTTTTTCTTTTCTTTGAAAACAAACTTCTGATTTTCAAGTTTATATGATCGATCTATACTAGATATTGTATCGAAATCAGAAAAGCTAAAGAGTGTAACATACTAGATATTGCAACCACGAATAGAGGTGCCAAACGCGTATGATTGTCCGGATTAAGTCCGTTTTGTAAACTTTAAAAAAAAAAAAAACGAGCCGAAGCGAGTCGGATATAGTTAAAGTTGTTGGTTTAAAATTTTAATTCATCCCATTCAAAAGTGTGAATGGGGTTGGACCTGCTCGCGGGTATTGTATTTTTTTAAATTTAAAAATACATAAAATTATGATAACGTTCATATCCACAAAAGGCTTGAAAAAAAACGGAATGAGACGGAACAAACATATTAAATGGTGAGGACCCAAATATTTTATCATTCTGCACTAAAGTGCGGACAAAAGAAATTTGTCCATTGTACCAGATCCGTTTTGCCACCTCTACCCACAAATGTTCCAAATATCTTATTATCATAATGTAACTAATAAAAGCTCTAAATTTGTTAGGATTTAATTAGAGAATTTTTTAATACCCTCTAGACCCTACTAATGCAGCACGTAAATTTTCTCAAATGCACACTCAACAAAGGTTATTCCGAGAGTCGCCTTATATATTGAGATATTTTTATTCTGGAGATGCATCTCCGAAACATTTTAAGAAAAATATTTTAATTGTTCAGTTCAGTAGATATTTTAGAGATGCATCTTCGGACGCACCTCTTGCACACTCAACAAAGGTCATTCTGAGAATCGTCCATATATTGGATTATTTTTATTTCGGAGACGCATCTCCAGAACATTATAAGAAAATCATTTTAGTTGTTCAGTTCAATAGATATTTCGGAGATGCATCTCCAGAATTATGGGCGATATTTTAAAATTTTCTGCCACCTTTGCATGTCAGGTATTTGCGGAGGTGCATCTCCGAAAATATTTGATATAGAACCCATTGTTAACATACTTGCTTTTTTTTTACCAAACCCTTCATTCTAAAAAACCCTTCATTCTCAATCCATTTTTCACTCCAAATCTCCATCCTTTTGGTTCAACATATCACAGGGAGGAAAAGAAGATAGAATTTCAGGTAAAGATTGTTCTTTTTCCTCTGCATTGCTCACATTAATCATCAACTTTTTTTGAAAAAAGTTACGCTGTGTCCAGAAATGTATCTCTGAAACGTGTATGAACTTGTCCGGAGATGCATTTATGGAACGTGTATGTGTTCATTTTTAAAGCCATTCTACAATAGTAGTTGATATTATGTTATGTTATTGTTTTAATTGTTTTCATTAGATATGGTGCACCCCCGATGTTTTCCCAAAATAAGTTGCTTCTTCAAATGTCCAAGGTGTGGTTGTCTCTCCGAATGTTTAAGGTGTTGATGTGAAGGCAATAAATGTTAGCAACGACTTTAAAAACAAGAAAGAGTTTGAATATCGTGATCAAATGCTTGAATGGATTCGTATGGAAACCTCTAAAATTATATTCGATGTGGATATCAGAAGGTTCGATAATGGATTCGTATTTGATCTATAGAATTATATCTAGTTGATATTAACCGAACCTATAACTTATCAAGATTGTGAAGAAATTCTCAAACATGTTTATCAAACATGGCAACGTTAATAGGTCTAGCTCTCATGATACTAAGACGACCTCTAGTATAAGGTTGAGTTATAGTACCCCATTTAACCTAGGGATTAGATTTTTCTCCCGAAACAAGTTATCTTATACAAGAATGAATCTTACTAGAAATGACTTCTGGAAGCCACAAATTATTAATGGTATAAATAGGCATAGAATTGAGCACAGACTTAGCAAAATTCAACCTCCCATACCTACTAAGAAGTCTACCTTTTCATCAAGCTAAACGAGAATTACTTTTATCAGTGATAAAAGAGAAATTTGCATTTGCGACCCTACCAAAAAGTAAAGGAAATCCAAGATATTTACCAATATTAAAGGTACGATGGAAGTTAATCATACCTTCAAATACCATTACCTTTTCCCAAGATAAATTCTTGGAGGGAAGGAATTTTTATTTATGGACATTAATCTTCATACCCTAGGCTTTGCAAAAAGCTTTAAGCACCTCATTAACTAGCCTAACTTGAGAAGTTTTGGATATTGTAAAGAGTAGACAATCATTTGCAAAGAATAAGTGAGAAATAGTCAGTCAGTTGTTAGAGATGCATATGGGGAGCTAGTAATTTGATTCTATTTTTTCCAGAATGAGAAGGACTAATTTATCCATACAAATCAAGAATAAGTAAGGAGACATAAGGTCACCTTGTCACAGACCACGAGTAGAAGAATAATTATCAAGCTACTCATTATTCCACTTAAGAGATAGGGATGATAAGGTGATGCAACTAATAAATAGATCAATTGTTAATGTTGGAAATCCAAATTGTGCTAGAGTGATTTTAAAAAAATTCCAATCTAAATTATCATATGCCTTCTCAAAATAAATCTAATACATAAGAAAACATGATTTCCCTTTCTTGGAATGCATGTAGTGAACAATCTCTTAAGCTATAAGAGCATTATCCATATTGCCTCGATTAGGGATAAAATTACTCTGAAGAGGGCCAATGGAGGTTTCCAAATGTAGTATAATACACCGAACCAAGACCTTAGATACAAGTTTAAGGAGAACATTGCATAAACTAATGTATCTAAAATCAGTGAGACTTTAAGGTTCGTCAATTTTAGGTATAGGAATGATAAAGGTCTCAATAAGATCACTAGGGATGCGACCAAAAGAAAAAGGATCATACACTAAATTCCAAACTTCACCTTCAACAATATTGTCATACCCCAAAATTTGACCCCTATATTCCATTATCATTCTAGGAGCATTAAGCATTGTTGCATAACCCTAACTTTGTTTCAAGTTTGTTGTTGTTGAATTCATCTGAATTAGGGTTTTGCATATGTGGAATTAAGAGGATTATTGCTTTATCAGTTAATGTTTTGGATTGATCACCACCAAATCAAGGTTCCCATACATTCAAGGAGCTTATACTAAACAAGAATCAAGTGTTAATTGATTTCATTGCAAGTTAATTGAAGCCCAATTTCATCTGACCCCAAATTAGGGTTTTGTTAGGAAAAGTCAACTGTGCCTTTGACTTTTGATCCAAGCATGATCCCAAGCCTTGGGACATGATTCAACATGTTCACATACCTCATTGAAGCCTACTCATGATGTTTGGGAAGTCTTAAGATGCAATTTATTGAAGATCACACAGTTGAATTCATCTGATTCAAAATTCATCTGACAAAGTCAACTCTTTGACTTTTAGGGTTTTTGGTTCAAATTGGAGCTTCCAAGAAAAATTTCATCATCATATGTTCAATCCATGAGTGTGATCATGAGAAATAAAGATTTGAGAGGTTTCTTGCAAAATAAGAAAACTTGGGTAAACTTGAAAATTTTCTAAATGTGGAAAAAAAACCCTAGTTTTAGTACTAACTTTGAAAGGCAATAACTTCTAATCCACACCTCCATTTTGTGAGTTCCGAAGATCAATTTGAAGATCTCCTCATAAACTACAAAAGTGTCCTATGAGAAAAAGATGCTTCAATTTTGAGTTATGAAGCTTCAAAGTTTGGAAGAATTTCAAAACACTTAGAAATATTTCAAGACAACTTTGTTACCCCAATTTTCAGTCAAACTCAAGGTCAATTTTCACCAAGATCCCTTTGGATTCAAGAATTTCACAAAACTTGAAAGTTGTAAAGCATGTTTAGGGATTTCCAAAAAGTACAAGAACTCCTTCATAGCATTTGTGAGCTAGGAGTTTATAAGAGAATAAGTTGGGGTCCAAAACTTGATTTATAGGTCATGATCTCATGAGTTCAATTTGCAATAACCTCCAAATCTCCAAGATCTCATGTGTCAAACCCTATTACTTGTTAAATTGGTTTAAATCAGATAAGTACACATTGCTTTGGTCCATTATCCAAAAGACTAAAGCTTGATTTCAAGGATTTTTCCATTTTTGGCATAAAGGCATGACTTCCATTTTGATAAAGGTAACTTTAAGTATAAAACTAGCTTCTTGAGCCTCCAACTTGTCCTCTCTGCACTCAAGCCCTTTTAAAGTCAGAATCAATATCCCAACCACTCAAGACCTCATGGTACTTTGCCTTGAAACCATGAAAAATCACAAAACTTCAAGTTGGAATTCAATTAGAACATGGAACCAACAAGTCACAAATTCTGCCTCCAAGCTTTCCCTATAAATAGAGGTGTGTTGCACCCCAAAATTTGCCCTCACTTTTTCTAACTTTTCTGGCTTTTGCTTCGCATTCATTTGCATCTTCATTAGGTCATATTTCATAATCTTGCTTTGCATTGGTTTTCTAAGACGTGGCATTAGGAGTTCTCTCTGAATCAGGTCTTCCTATTTGCTTTAAGAAACTTTCATTCAAGTTTGGAAGAGGGTTGAATTCTTATTGTTGTAATTTCACATCATGTATCAATCTTACATTCTTCAAGATTGGTCAGGCATTAGAAGTCCTTGGGCTCAAGTTTGTTGGCAATCCTATATCCAGTTGGCTCAGGATCAAGGTTTATTTCTCATCATGAATAAGTGATCAGGGTTATCAAGGACGATGGCATGTTTTTAAGGCAAGTGTGGTTGTTCAGTCACGATCAATATCAGATGGAAGTTTTACCTAGTCATGGTCAAACCATTAAGAAATGTCTTCAATTGCAAGTTATTTGTACCACTGGCTTATTTTCACAGTCGTGTGTACCCAAATTCAAGTTGTCATGTATGGGGGTTATCAGGTTATCAAGTATTGGTCCCTGAAGAGTTAGGTTCGAAGATCAGGTTTATCATAACCCATCAGTTCAAATGGATATCCTCTGTGGATTTATTTTCCCGAAGACTTATCCATACAGATTCAAGATGATTCAGGATTTTCTTAGTTGGAGATTCATTCGTTGGCTCATTCAAATGGTTGTAGTTGTTTCAAGTTGTTCAGTGGTAACTGTGTGCATTCAATCGGATTTTGGTGAAAAGTTGGGAGTAGGTTTTAGGCTCATTTAATCTGAATTCATAATCCACTAAAGTCCATATCTATCCATTCCACGTTTCAATTCCTAACCAATGTTCAAATTTCATTTGAGGGTCAAAATTCAAATTCCATGTTTCTAGAACAAGATCATTCTAATTCAATCTCTTTTCAAATTCATGTGTTAATTCTAACATTCAAGTTGTAATTTCATTTTGATTTCCAAGTTCATGTTCAATATTTATTTCCAATTTTCATTTATTCATTTTTATCCTCCATCTACAAAATACCAAGCTTCTTTAACAACTGAAGACCCATTTGATTTTTACACCAAAATAAAAATCAAGTCCATTATCAAAAAGAACACAAGGCCCATATCACTTTTCTCATCTAAGCCCATGTCCAAGAGATTAAGAGGAGGGATTTTGTCTTTGACCTAACAAGAGAGAGGAGGCGCCGTTTGTTTTGATGAAGGAGAAAGGAAGGTCTCATTTTTCTCACCTACTTGACCATATTTGCATGAATCTCATTCTTTCTCTGCATCTAAAACCCTCGCCTCTATTCGCCCACCTTCACCTTCTCAACATTAATGGCTACTACGCTTCTTCTCCAAAATTCTTCTTCTTCATCTTCCAAACTTTTTTACCCTTTTCTCTTATCCTCTTAATTTCGTACTTCCCTCATTCGTTCACCTCAATCTCAATCCCCTCTCACCAATGACAATGCTACCTCATCTCCTTCTTCTTTAAACCCTTAGTGGAGATCCATGGCTACTTTCACCAGAATGAAACCTCATGTTAACGTTGGAACTATTGGTCACGTAGATCACGACAAGACCACACTCATTGTGGCAATAACCAGTGTACTTGTTGATGAAGGGAAAGCTAAGGCTATAGCTTTTGATGAAATTGATAAGGCTCCTGAAGAGAAGAAAAGAGGAATTATTATTGCTACGACACATGTTGAGTATGAGACTGCAAAACGATATTATGCGCATGTAGAGTGTCTTGGACATGCTGATTATGTGAAAAATATGATTACTGGAGCTGCCCAAATGGATGGTGGTATCCTTGTTGTATCTACACCTGATGGTCCAATGCCTCAAACCAAGGAGCACATTCTTCTAGCTCACAAAGTTGGTGTGCCATCTCTTGTTTGCTTTTTAAATAAAGTTGTTGCTGTCAACGATCCAGAATTATTAGAGCTTGTAGAAATGGAGTTCCGTGAGCTTATGAGCTTCTACAAGTTCCCTCGGGATGACATCCCTATCATTAAGGGTTCGACACTGTCTGCTTTAAATGGTACAAATGAGGAGATTGACAGTAAGGCCATTCTAAAATTAATGGATGCTATAGATGAATACATTCTTGACCCTGTTCGTCAGCTTGATAAGCCTTTCTTGATGCCCATTGAAGACGTGTTCTCAATTCAGGGACGAGGAACAGTTGCTACTGGTCGTGTTGAACAAGGGATCATCAAAGTTGGTGATGAAGTTGAGATTTTAGGTCTGATGCAGGGTGGTCCTCTAAAACCAACAGTCACTGGAGTTGAGATGTTCAAGAAGATGGTTTCTTTTATCTATGAACCAAGAAGTCCGCAGGCCCATGTGAATTGGACTCTAAGCCCATTGCACATCTTAAGTAGCCAATGCACCCTGTTTTTTCGGGTCATCCCCTTTTTCCTTCATGTGATTTTAATTGATTTTGTTTACTTATTTTGGTTAGGTCTAACTTTCTATTTAGAAATTAATCTTGATTTAACTAATGTTTATTTAGGAATAGATGTTAATTCTAGGATTAGAGAATTATTTTTAGAATTAGTTATTTTTAGACACTTATTTTAATTCTATTTTCTTTCAGATTAATTTTTAATTATATTATTAACTAAGTTTTAATTTAATTAGATTTTAATTTTTAGTTTAAGATTATTTATTTTTTTGATTTTAATTTTTGATATTAGAATTAGTTTTAGTTTTAGAATTTAATTCTCATTTAGAATTAGATAAGATTAATTCTAGAATTAGTTTTAATTTTAATGTTAGAATTTAATTTTGATTTAGAATTAGAATAGGATTTAATCTTGATTTAACTTAGGATTAGCTTTCATTTAGATTTTAGTTAATTATACTTTGATTTAATTTAATTAATTTAACTTTTGGATTAATTCTTTTCATGATTTTGGTTTTAGTTCCTATTAATTCTTGAATAACACTTATGAATGTTTCTCTATCGACACTTGTATATATTTGCTTTGACTGATATGCCTTTGCCTTTGAATATTTATTTGAGTTTCGAACTTGATGTTGTTTGTGATTGCAATGCTTCGTGTTTACTCGTTGATTACCCATGTATTCACATGATCCTTTAGGATTCCTAGCTCGACTTAATTCCAAGCATGTCAACGTTAGGTAGATTTCCCTCCTAATCCTGACATTAGGGCCACTCTGTATGATAACAGTTAGGGTTAAACTTCCCCTAGACCTTTTGTGTGTCTCTCTCTTCTCTCTCAGAACAGTAATCAAAACACTTAATAAATTCGATGAGTATTGTACGCTACGAGCCTTAGGTACATGGGAAATGATGAGTGAGGAATTTCTCCTTGCTTGCCTAGAGTGTTTAGCATATGCCCCGAGGGCGATATGCGACGCATTTGCTCCTGTGTCATAGACTTTCGTGCGATACACATCTCAAACAAAGTCAATTCACTTCCGTTAAGGCGTTCCAGGCCTAGGCTCTTTTCTCTCGCCCCCGTGCGATCGAGATCCTGTTTTCCCGTAGTAGCCGAACTACGCCTGCTCTGATTCCTTATTCCCTAATGAGGATACGTAGGCACGAATATTCCTATCCTTGACGAGCACACTAACTACTAACTTCCCTTTTCTCTCGCCCTAGTACGATCGAGACCAACCCGTTATCCAGAACCTTTTCTCTCGCCTCAGTGCGATCGAGACCTTGTCCCGTAGTTTCCCGAACTACGTTTGCTCTGATTTCTCATTCCAGATGAGGATATGTAGGCACAAGACGGTGATGTCTTGGCGAGCAAACTTCCCCCCATCACCCGTAGTTTTCTGAACTACGTTGACTCTAACTTTCCCATTGCACGAGGGAATACGTAGGCATAGGGCGACAATGTCTTATCGAGTCTGTTCTTTCCCTTCACCCCCGTTTAGCAGCAACTTTTAGATAACTCACCCATAGATTAGACATCAAGCATGGATCCCGTTGAGTACAACAGACTTGAGGGGTGCTCATACCTTTCCCTTGCGTAACCGACTCTCGAACCCAAGATTTGGCTGCGATGACCTTGTCTTTCCCGTTCTTTTTGGTTTTCTTCGATCGTTTCCTTTCCCTCTCTTTGGGATAAATATCGTTTGGTGGAGACTCTTCTGTTTGTTTCCGCCGGCCCTTTTTGCAGTTGCGACAAGGTGCAGTTCATGTTTCAGGAAGGAGGAGGAGAGGAGACAGAAAAGAAGAGAACAAGTGTTTGAAACTAGAGAAAACACCCTTAAAACTAGTATCTTGCAAACCAAACACCATTTGTGCCAAAGATCACCACTTTGCACAAAACTCCTCAAAATCATTTCCAAACATTAAAGCACCAAACCAATAATTCTAACACATCATAAAAAATGTGTTAGAAGTGTTCAAGTCATCACAATCATCAAAAGACCAACAAATCCAAAAGTCAACTCCCAAACCTCCTTTTGTTGACTTTCTGCATTTTGATATCCAAAACCTCATCCAGTTCATTTCCAAACCTTCAAACACTTCAAACACACACTATAAATCATCCTCAAATTGTTCCAAACCTGGTTTTCCATCTGTAACTTCATTCACTTGAAGTTTCATTTTGGTCATTTTTCACATTTGCAAGAAGGAAAGGATATTCTACTCCAAGTGTTTTCATTTGATTTCAAGCACTCAAAGAGGTTCTTGAAGGTATATTGGAGCTGTTCAAATTAACAAAGCACTTCTATAAGAAACTCTTTTGAAGATTCCAAGTTAGCTCCAAGAGGTAATTGAACTTGAGTTTTTCAAACCATGCTATGTTTTGATATACACTAATCATGGACATATTTGGTATGATATTTGTAACGTGTTTGAACTATTACATTATGCTTATCATGTTTGACTAAGGTTGTGATGTTGAAATTGCAAATTTGAGCTTTTTGAGGTTTCACTACCGGGTTTTCATTTAGAAGCATTATTAGCAAAAACCATTGGTGTCACTAAATTCCTTATGAAATTTTGAGTGAGTTTGATCTTTGGATCATCCATTTTCATGGAGAAATGAGAGAGTTACAGGTGCTCTTGCAAGCTGGTCTTGATGAGGTCAAGGTCTGGCCATGGTGCATTTGAGAAGGCCTCAAGGCATGTTTAGGGGTATGATTTAATTTGATGAGATGACACAATGGATGTATCACCGCCCCAACGGTTTACCATGCGCGCTTTAGAACTTTCTTGCCTTGCCTGACCTGGGTTCGATCCTGTTGATCAACCCTGTTTGTGCATTTTTCCATTTTTCAAAGCTGAATGCATATTTTTACTTGCTTCCACTTTTATTTCACAACGCGCGTATGGTTCAGTTGGCTAAGTTTTTGAGCCATTAGCTTGAGCGCGTGGGTTCAAGTCCCTTGGAGTGCATTTCCTTATTTTTAATACTTAATTTTTATGTTTTTCTTCACAAACTGATTTAATCATAACTTCTTTGATTTTTATAAGTTTTGCACCATTCTTTTTGCTAAATGTTCATGAGAATGTTTATTTTCTATCCATGTCAAGAAAATTTCAAAAAGAATTATTTTTCTTTCCCTTGTGCATGTTCAAAGTTTATGACTTTTTAGGGTTTCTTAGGCTTTCTTTTGATCTTTGTGATTGATTCCTTTGATTCTCTTTGCT